GTTCCAGTTCAACCAAAGAATTGAATCACCTTTATAAGTCGCTTGCTTTCTCTAAGCCCCATTACTCTCACTCCAGAAATGAAGAAAATAATAACTGTCTGCCCCAGAGACTGCTGTGAGGATCAAATGAAATACTTGGTGTAAGAGCATTTGGAAGAGTATAAACACAATATGATATTAATATTAGTTTAGACTCTCCCCAAGGCTGCCAGCTCGTGCCATTCCAGACCAAGCATTAACCAGCTGGGATCTTGGCTTGCTGATCCCTGGACACATAGAGTTCAGAGCCTTCTTAGCAGAAAAAATAGCTCAGACTAAAAATATCTCAGTTTTCCTGCGGACTCTACCTGGAATTCCAGGTACACCTAGTTGAGGTGAAATTAAATATGTTTCTCAATAGAAACGTGCATTGTTCAGGCTGCGGGCAAGCTTCCAGAAGGAGGCATCTGGGCACCGGATGGAGACAGTGGAACACAGAAACAGCCGTCCCGCCGACAGCCCTCTGGCATCGGTGCCAGCAGCAGCCCTTTGACCTGGCACAGGGGCCAGTGGAGGGCAGACAAAGCCAGCCCTTCCAACCAAACTGATTTCCCTGACTTCTCCGTGTGTGCCTCTTTTTCTCGTTAAGGCTCCTGGAAACACAGCCCTGCCCGATGCTGGCAAGCCTCAGAGGCAGCGGCAGCTAATATTTTTTAAAGATGTGTAGAACAGCTTTTTGTTTGGGGTTGGGTTTTTTTTTCCTTTTTTAAGTTTTTATTTTTATACATATTTTTTGTATTCAAAAGAAAGGCATACTTACCACAAATTACAAAAGATGAAATAATGAATGGACCACTTCAGCCTGGGAAGCAGATACTCTCAATATTAATGTTATCATACAAGTATAGAACAGTTTTTAGAGTGAAAACTTAATGAGGCTTAAGCCTGCAATAGCAAGAGTTTATTTTTTAAACTTCCCACTTTTCTTACAGTTGGATAGGTTATAGGATCTAAGAGAAGATGCCAATAAATAACCTAAGGTAATTTCTAATCAGGAGGTACAAGGGTCCTCCCCAGCTCATGTTCAGCAAGAGCATGTCCGCCCTCCCCACAACTATGCAACATACCAAGGAACAAGGGAGGGAGGAAAGTACGAGTTCTGTCAAAGCAACCACTAACACTGGGACGAAGCTTGCTGCCCCTGCCTCCTTCACCCTCCGCCAAAGCAGAGAAGGAAAAAAGGCTTTCACAGAAGGCCCAGCCAAACCCATAGAGCTGGAACAAGCAGGCCCCTGCTATTCTAACTTGGGCTCATTTTATGCACTGCACTGTGCTCTGCCCCTCCCCTGGCCACGTATCTAAAGACGGCCTGTTATAACTCTCACCCCTCTGCTACCAAGAACTCTACACCTTCCCTCTGATTTTAGAGTGTTAAGGTTATTTCAGTGAAATCAGAGTACACATGGAGAAGGCCCGTGACTTGAAGGTCTTTCTGCTCCGATGATCTATGTCCTTCTCTTCTGAGGCCAAAGGGGCTTAACCTGGTTTCAGGATGTCACGCTGGTGGCTACTCACCTGGTATTTAATCAGTCAAGAAGAGGTTTACTCATTGCACATCATGGGTCTCCTCCTGAGAAGAGAAGCTAGTCAAGTGATCAAAGGGCTAGAGTCCAAAGCCACACTGCCTGGGTTCAAGTCCTAGCTCTGCCACTTGCTTCTTATGGGACTTTGTACAAATTATTAACCAAATTGAGTCTCAGTTTCCTTGTTTGTAAAATGGAAGTGACGAACTTAACAATAATACCTACCTCTTAGGGCTGTCTTACAAACACAAAATAAGTTAGCTGGCAGAAAGAAAGCCCCTGATAAACACCAGCCTAAGTGCGGGGCCCTGTTGTGTCTGAAGCTAATGAGAGTGTATTCTCAGCCTATTAGAGGCCACAGTTTGAATTCTAAGATTAAACAGTGCATGACTTTGGCTACAGGGGATGGAATAGAGAATCTAAACCTCAGAATGAAATCTACAAGCCTCAGTCTGATATTTAATGTCCTCCACAATCTACTCCCATTCTTCTTCCTATTTCCATGCCAACTCTCCATGTCATCCATTCATTAAAGCAAAACAAAACAAAAAAAGTCAGCATCTAAGTGCCACATCCTGTGCCGGGCATGGTGCCCCATCTGGTCAACTCAGTGCCCTGCCCAGTCTTTAAGACAAAGCGGGAGACTAAGGCATCCCACAATGCCCTCCCTGGCTACTCTAACCCACCAGGGTCCCTCTTTTGACCGTTTTGAGATCTTTTGGGTTTTTCTTGGTATTCACCATACATTGGTTATTTGGTTACAGGATGATATTTTTTAAGCCTAAAGTACAAGCAGCTCAAAAGAAGGGATGAATCTTATATTTCTTTGTACACATATCCCTAAGTGACTAGTATTGTGTTTTGCACTTAGCAGGAACTCAGTGAATTAAGTGATTCACTTAATGTTTCAATAGGATACAGATGGCTTAAAGCAAATCCGTTATTCTTTCAAAACAAACCCTTCCTCATAGTGTAGCATCTTAAAGGTTCAATCTCTAGACCTAGAACAAGTAGGTTTATAGTTCAATTTGCTATTTATTAGCTGTGCGACCTTGAGGAAGTTACTTAACCTCTCTGTGCTTCAGTTTCCTCACTTATAAAATGGGGATAATCAAAGTATCTATACTTCCTAGGGTAGTTATAAAATGTAAAGCACTCTGAATGGGACCTAGCATACAGTGATTATTAATACTCCAAATGTTTACTATTATTATTCATATCTTCATTAAGTTCAATTCATCCAGAATGACCCGGAATGTAAAAAGTGGAAACCACCAACAAACTTCTACACCAAAAGGCATCCCTTCCCCTCTGTGCTGCTTATCAGTTGCCTCAAGCTGTTATAAAATCTGTAATTTTAAACTGTCCTTTCCACCTCAGCAAAGCTTTGAGCATTTATACAACTAAAAAAATATATTTTCTTCCCAATAGCTTGAAAGAGGAAAAGAAGATCTTAAGCAAAACTAATTCACTATCAAATACATCAAGGTTGTACAGGGCCCTCAAACTCATGCTTTCCCATGAAGTACTTTCTTCAGTTGTGTTTTTCAGTCTGGCCCAGGCATCAATGAAAGCCCTGCCTCAACCCCACCAGGTATGATTAGACATCTTGTCATCAAAACAGCAAATTTTCCATCAAGCCGTTTCTCTCTCTCTCTCTCTCTCTCTTTTTTTTTTTTGCTACTACTTTTCAATGACAATTAAGATCTGTTTTAATGTACAGGCTAAAAAGCGAATAACACTTCGATAATGAGACAAAACGAAACTGCCGACAGATAATAATACAGAAAGAATGGGCAGTTCAAATTCACACACTGGCATTCAAAAAAAAATAACAAAACCTCACAACTTTCTTTCAAGATATTTGCCATGAGGAGGACATTCTGCTTTCCAGTTTCATAAACCGATTTTTCCCAGCTAGCTTTCACTCAGTCTGTGTTTGCATATGACCCCTGGCCTGAGTCAGTTAGAGTTTTAAGGCAATCTGGTTTCTTCAGTATAATCCAGAGGTTAAGAATATAGATGTAGGCTGGGTGGGGTGGCTCACACCTGTAATCCTAGCACTCTGGGAGGCTGAGGCCAGAGGATCGCTTGAGCTCAGGAGTTCGAGACTAGCCTGAGCAAGAGTAAGACTCCACCCGTCACTACAAAAAACAGAACAATTAGCCAGGTGTGATGGCATGTGCCTGTAGTCCCAGCTATTCGGGAGGCTGAGGCAAGAGGATTGCTTGAGCCCAGGCATGTGAGGCTGCCATGAACTACGATGACACCACTGCACTCTATCTGGGCGACAGAGCGAGACTGTGTCTCAAAAAAAACACAAAAATATAGATGTAAAATCTGGCTCTCCCACTTCCCAGCTACATGACACCATGCAAGTTACCTAATCTCTCCATATCTCATTTCAACATCTATAAAATGGCAAAAATAATGAAATAATTATACCTAAGAGTTGTAATTAAGTGAGCCCATTAAATAAGAATACATTTATTCATTTTTTTCTTTTTTTTTTTTCAGGATTTTACTTTCAAGTGATTTATTCATTTTTATATTCCATAATTGTTGAGCCCAGGGACTGGCTGTAGTGCACACTCAATAAATGGTAATTACTATCACTGTCATCTGTATGTGCAATTCAATAGCCAATACCAAGAGGCTAATCACTTTTCAAGTCAATGCTTTTCTTGTTGAGACCTGCCAGTTTCCAGAACTGGTCCAGCAAATTAGTTTTATGTAGCTCATTACAGAATTGACACAAAGCAAATTATAACAAAATAGAACAAATTAAGCTTCAAATTTATTAAGTAACGTTGACAGCAAATACTAAGATACTGGTGTAGAGTGTCTGATACTCTTACTTAAGCAACAACATTCTGACCAAGTCATTTGCTTCTTCTCTTCTCCAACCTCATACCCAGAAGGCCTCCAGGAAGTACAGTGTATTTCTCTACTTATTAAAAAGTTACATATTAAAATATCTGAAATAGGCAAAATTAAATACCTCCCAAACAGCCCATGTCAGGAGAGTCATCTCTATCTAGAAGGTCTATCTATTTATTTTGTAATAAAGAAGAAAAAGGCTTTCTTGAAATTCTTATTTCAAGAAATTCTTGGAATTTCTTGTTCATAGGAACAAGAATGTAAATATAATCTATGCATGTAACAAAGTGGTATTAATCATCAGCATAATTGTTCTCTAACTGCCTCCACGCAGTTTTAGTTAGGTATCTGCGTCACTGACATTACAATGCCTAGCACCTGGTAAAACACAGCATTGCATATGTGTACAGTAGTCAAATATTTTATTTCCCTAAAGAACATAAAAATTCAAGTTCTTCATGAACATCACATGGTCTAAATTCTTCTAAACTGAAGAGACTGAGGACAAAGCTATCCAAAAGAATATAACAAACATGCAATTTATATTATGCAACTTGCCTGCCATGGCTAAAGAGGAGCTCATCAGGGCAAACATGGCGACCACGTAATGGGAAGTCATTTTTATTCTCCAACAGTGTGTCTCGTCCAGTCACCTCTGCCTGCTGTTCTTCAGAAAGCAGACGATCTTTGCAGATCAAAAGTGGTCTTATAAGTCCTCTTAGCAATTTTCAAATCGCCTGTAAAAGTAAACAAACTTCAATAAGAAAACAGTGCAAAAACGTCTTTTCATAAACACACATTAAACAGAATTTCTGAAAAGCATTAAGAATTTTATCTTAAAAGATGCCAAGAAAAACTCAAGAGAACTAGGGTAGGGGTGGTAACCATCTAATAGAGAGGTCTATAGCAAATACTGTTTCAAATGCCCTGCTTATATTTTTGGTTGTTTTTTGGGTTTGGTTATTTTGGGTTTTTTTTTTTCTTTTTTTTGAGACAGAGTCTTGCTCTGTCACCAGTAGCATTATCGTAGCAACCTCAAATTTGCAACCTCAAATTCCTGGGCTGGAGCTATCCTCTTGCCTCAGCCTCCCAAATAGCTGGGACTACAGGAACATGCAACAATGCCAAGCTAATTTTTCTGTGTTTTATAGAGATGGGATCTCACTCTTGCTCAGGCTGGTCTCGAACTCCTGAGCTCAAGCGATCCTCCCACCTTGGCATCCCACAGTGCTAGAATTATAGGTGTGAGCGACCGCACCCGGCCTATTTTTGACACTTTAAATCTTTGGTTTTATACAGAATTTTCAGCAATATAGAGGAAAATCGGGGTGCACCTGAAATGTACTATCCCCAGTTATGTTGTGGTACTAAAGTAATCGATGCTACTTGATACATGTACTCCCCAGTGCCAGCAAGAAAACACAAACAGCTCTGATTAGAGACTCAAACTAATGCTATGATGACAGGGTTATCACAAGGATCAAATTAAATTACACCGAGAATTAATCTGAAAAAATAAAGAAACATAAAAAGGCAAGGTTCTTATTTCAACTGTTTGCCAACATTTTAACAGGACAAAGTCTTCCCTGCCTCTCAGCCCCATCTGAGACTATCTGGTTACTGAACTAGAGGATCCAGAAGGTCCTTTCTAACCTTTTCCTACCCAGAGTCTTGACTGAGAGTTTTGTGGTAGTTTTCTTAACTTGAATATTTTTCCCATGGCCCTGTTTACTCACTTAGACACTCCTATGTATATTTTCCAGCCCTCTATTCCCTAAACTGGCCACAACCCACAGAGGTTGTGCAATTCAACAAACATTAATTGAGCACCTACTATGTTCTAAGCATTGTTCCTTCTGATCAGCAATAAAAGTTATCCAACACTGAATAAAAGTGCAAACAACCTGCCTGATCCAAACCCTGGGAAAGGCAGGAAGGTGGAGCTGCCAGGAACCATATCCAATACCCGGGGAGTTGTTACCCACACCCAGGAAATATCATCTGTAGAACCTGCTCATTAGCTCCAGAGACAAAGCCAGCCAGTTTGGTCATTTGCAGATATAATATAAAAATATTAAAACAAAACCGAAATGAGTTTCTAATTAAATGGTCTTAGTTCATTGCATCAAGTGTTAAGAGAAAGATATTTAAATGTCTCTCTGCATTTGTAACACTAACTGCCTACCTTTGAGAAGGGGGAAATAGGGTGATTAGAGGACAGGGGTGGGAGGGATCAGGAGCCTTTTCACTGAATTCCCTTCTGGGTTTATACCATGTGCAAGTACTACCTACCCAGAATAATAATAAGTTTCTAATTTCAAAAAGGATTTCTAAGATATACCTTAAAACTAAATTATTGCGTAGGCAGGAGGCACTATGGCTCCATCTTGGTACAGGATAGTGATTAAAAGCCTAGTATGAATAGAACATGGGTTGTGAGGGCAGTTATAAATCTGCCTAGATGTGAGCCCACTCTTCCACCTCTCAAATGGGTGATGTTAGGGAAATTACTCTTTTTTTTTTTTTTTTTTGTCATTTGGAGTGGAAAGGGAAATTACTCTTCAGGAATGAATCTATCCCACAGTAGGACATGATAAGCTGTTGTGAAGATTCAGTTAGTTAATATACATATACAATACTTAAAGAAGTGCCCAGCATATAATCAATAAATATTAGCCATTATAACTGTACTGTTATCACTACTTGTCCATTCTCTGAGGAATTTATCCCAATAAAGTACAAAAATTGGTGTGTAGCTATTCATGTAATTCTTAGCTAGTGTAAAACCAGTTCAAACTTTTGTTTATTCCAAAATAAACATTACAATAGACCAAACAAAAGAGATAAGCTAATGAGTGGAATCACTAAAAGAACAAAACTGCCAGTCAAGTTGAGGCACAAGCCATGAATGACACAATAGTCTTGTCTCAAAAGCTGACTAAATTACAGAGATAATTTGGAAGCCATTAAGATGACTTCAGTCACCCATTGCAGTCCAACATTTCTGTCACCATAATTCCACATCACCTCAGATCAAACGCTAATCCTCTCTGGTAACTTAAAAATTCAACAACAGCAAAGAGAATTTGTCCCTATTTTTTCCCTTCAAAAAATTAAATTTCCTGAATGGACTGATAAGGAAAAACCTCTCTGAAAGAATACGCTATCCCAGCAAATGCTAAAGACAATTTTTGTAAAGCAAAAACTGTGTAAGGAGATCTAAGAAGAAGACGGCTTCCCAGAGGACTGTTATGGAGCACATGAACTGTAAGCAGCACGAGGCTTACGGGAATGTTTAAGCAGCTTGCGACACCCCCTGCCCACAGCTGCAGAGGGTCTGGGGGATTGTGCTGCGTTGATCCAGGGGCTTAAACTAGGTCTGAATGAACCTGTGGAAGAGAAAGGCAAATGGTTCTATTAAAAATATAAACTGCAAATTGCTGACAAGAATATTGGGCAATTATTAAAATGCAGCAATTACAGATATAATAGAGCCAAGCTAAACAGTTTGATGCCCAAAGGCAAACCACAGCAAGTTTACACCGGATCTTAAAACATCTCTGAGGAAGTCCAAGACAAGTTGAAACTACACACTGCTGTTTGTAACAAAGAGGGAGCTTTTCTTCTTTTAGTTTAAAAGTCCCTCTATAATGTAACTTGTTTGAAAAGAAAATAAACTGCGGAGAGTTTTTGTCTAATCTTCCCAGTGTGGTGACAGGCTCCGAAGGCAGAGGAGAACAAAAGGGAAGCGTCTCATTTCCATTCAGCTGAACTCCAGTTTGGGCCACAACTTGTACACATCAGCGCCTTAACACACAACTTAGGGACTGGTTCTCTAATCAGAAGAATGCAGGATGACCGAAGACTTCTGAAAAGTTGTAGCTTTGAAATAAAATTAGGGAAATATAAACTCCTCTTTCTTCTGTGAGGTTCTACCATTCTGACTTTGCAAAGGCCAGGGTTTCCTGACCCTGGCTTTTTTATGTTGCTGAATCTCTGGACTTCATGAACTAAATGCTTTCTTTAGAAATACCAATAGAGTACTCTGAGATCGGGAAAGAATAATTTGGGGTCTAGTGTACAACAGTCATTTTGCCCATATTTCAAAGCAATGTGTTCCATTCAAAGGGTACGAGAATGCTTTGTATGCACAAATTAACAGAAGAAAATTCTGAGTGAGAGTTTCATGGGTTAAAAAAGATGAATGTACTACTAATTCTGCTAACTTCAGAGTTCCCCTGTGTTTATTTCTGAGGACATTAAATTAAGCATGCCAGCCCACCTTCCCTAGTGATCCAACAGAGTGTACAGCTACACACCAGGATTAGTTGGAAACCCTACCCAAAAGAAGCCTTAAAACCATCACAGGTTGAACCAATGTTCAAAAGGCACTAGTTGGGAACAACAGTCCCTGGGGTGAGATTTTTTTTAAAGAGCAAATGTTCCTCTATCTTAAAGGAAATCTGGCAAAATGGATGTCTAGCAATAGTTAAGTAAGAAAAAAGTACAAACTTCCCCTTAGATGACCCACATGTCTGCCTAGATCCATGAGATGACTCAAAATCAGCACTAAATTCAATTTTTTAGTTTAAAAAAAATAGCATGCTAAAGATGTATATTGAATGATTTTTAAAGTTGGAAGATATCAACAAGATTTCACTGATGAAGAGGAAACCCAAACCCCAAGAACAACACTGGCCTAAAACAACATAGCACAGGCAAGGCCAGAAACTGGGTCTCTCTCCATGAGCACCATTCAACCTCTCAGCTTTAGGTCTGTCACCACAAACTGGGAACCATTTCTCCACCTCCATATTCAATCTCTAAAAACAGAGCCTCTTTTCCAAGAGAGGGGGAAGCCTACCTCAGCTGCCAACAAACACTGGTATTTATTGACATGCGCTCTGCACAAACCTTAACTGATCACAACTGTGAACTTAACTGCAGGCCTGTGGGTACCAGCTGTAATAAATAAACAATCCTTGGTAATGTCAACCTCAAAGTTCTCTGAAAATGCAAATAGCAAGGTGAAGCACAAACCTGTGCCTCATCATATCCTAATATGCTGATGCTGTTTTGGCTGCAATCAGGAAAAGAAAAGAAAATCAGGAAAATATTCAATAAATGTGAAGATATATTTATTCAGTGGAATTTAAAAATGACCACTGCCTAAACTCAAATAGTAAATAACACCTGAGTTTCTGGTACCTTACACATGAAATGGTTTTCTAACAGATCATTAAAATGTTTCTAGTCTGCCATATAAGCGGATTTTTTAGAGAAATACACAGCTAAGTCTACAAATGGTTAAACAAAAGCCGGTAGAAGGCCAGGCACGGTGGCTCACACCTGTAATCCTAGCACTCTGGGAGGCCCAGGTGGGCGGATTGCTGAAGGTCAGGAGTTCAAAATCAGCCTGAGCAAGAGCGAGACTCCATCTCTACTGTAAATAGAAAGAAATTAATTGGCCAACTAATATATATAGAAAAAATTAGCCATGCATAGTGGCGCATGCTTGTAGTCCCAGCTACTCGGGAGGCTGAGGCAGAAGGATTGCTTGAGCCCAGGAGTTTGAGGTTGCTGTGAGCTAGGCTGACGCCACAGCATCACTCTAGGCTGGCAACAAAGCGAGACTCTGTCTCAAAAAAAAAAAAAAAAAAAAGCCCGTAGAAGAATTGTCTTGATGGCTATTAAACATGCTCGATCAGGGCATTTAGAAGAGAGGCAGATAGATGAT